AGCAGCTAAAGTTGAATTTTAACTGCAGCAGCTGCTGCTTCTGAAGCGCCTCAGATGCTCAGAAGCCCAAAACGCTGCTGGACCTTTTGCTGCGCCTTGATGTGCGTCAACCATTTACTTTGCATGTAATTTATCTTCTTCTGCTGCCTCTGCAGCGTGCTGATTGAACGTAGCATGAGTTCGACATTCCCAACTGCTGAGATGGGCTGGTTGTCAAGGGCAACAGATTCAGTGTATTGTCATTATGAGTTCGTATGAAATCGTACGAAAAGTTATGCACCGTAATTTTGTACGTTTTGGACGTTTTTTTCGTCGCATGCGCATCTGACGCACCATTGACGAATATAGAATATAAATTACAATTGGCCCTAACCCTAAGGTATAAAACAGCAAGCAACGTAGTTAGAGACATGAAGAAGTGATGATTGCACAGTTTTTCCCATTTTTACGTCCGTCCACGGATCTGCTTTTTTTTCTGTCTGCCAGCACATGTGCACTGATGTGGTTTTTTGAGGAAAAACGTCCAAAACGTACGAAATAGTGTGCATAACTTTTCGTACGATTTCATACGAACTGATAATGAGAATATGTTGACAGATTCGATCAACCTTTCTGTAATCGTCTTTGCCCTCCTGTTTTCCTTGGAGTCTTTGTCTCCTCATAAAGTCCATCTGTAAGTTTACAAAACGCTTCATACACATCATCATGTTTTGTCCTCAGATGAGGAATCAAGTTTGTGTTCTTGAACGCAGCTCTGCTGCTTCCTCCTCTTCAAATTGCCGTGTTGCAGACATTGTAAGTAGCTTTAGGATAGTCTTCACTCTCCAGATTGAAATATTTCCACACTTCTGACACGCTTGCTTTGCACCGCCACCGAGGTTTGTATTGCACAGCTTTCATCACCCGGATCTGGCAGGATTGACACAATTTGGCAGCTAATGTAGCCGAGCTCCCATCACGATAAAATGGGGAAAGATCGCGCCAATCCGATCTCGAGATCGGGACAATCCCGACTAATTTCATGTGTTTGAGGTTAAACTGCAACTAAACGATTGTAGTTGTTCTGCGCAGATTATGTTCATGATCTGAAATATTTCATGACCGAATGATAACTGCCAGAGATGGATAAAGTACTAAAATATCATACTCAAGTAAAAGTACCAATACTTGGATGAAAAATTACTCAAGTAAAAGTAATAAGTAGCTAATTTAAAATGTATTTTAAGTAAAAGTTACTCAGTTACATTTAAAAAAAAAACAGTTGAACGGGGCAGGGGATCTCTCCCATGTAGTGAAAACAGGACAAGGAGTCATAAATCCAAAACAAATATGGCCGAGGATTTTCGTCGTTTTTGGGCAGCAGAATTCGATGTTTTCAGCTGGCATTTCTAGTGAAACGTTCTCTGATCCACCTCCATCTCCTTCCCAATCTCCTACAGAAAGACTTGGCGCCCGGTAGCCTAGATCTACTGGTAGCCTAGATCTACTGGTAGCCTAGATCTACATGCTGATCACGTCACACGCTGTAGCGCTTCCGGGCCGATTTTTTGTCTTCCTTTCAGTTTTCCAAAGTTTTTTTTTTACTCAGTAACGGATGGGATTTGTAATTTAACGAAATACAATACTTCACTCAAAACCTAATCAAGTAAAATTTAAATGACCGATTTTAAAAACTACTTGAAAAATACAAAATACACAAAAAACCTACTCAATCCAGTAACTTGAGTAAATGTATTTCGTTACTTTCCACCTCTGATAACTGCTGACCTGGGATGAAGCGTTCTGTATTTATCTGTCGCGTGTAGCTGAGGCCCACGGTGCAGTAAGGCTGAGGATACGTCAGCAGCCGCTTGCAAAAGTCATAAATACGTTTGTACAGCTCATCTGGGATGTAGGCCGTCTGAAACGACAAAACACACACAAACATCATGAGTTTATTGAAGAAAACAATGTTTTTAAGGATGGGAAAGGAAATAATTCCTATTTCTTATTCTATATTTCAATCAACCGTTGCGTATATTAGCTGCGACATATGAATCAAGATAGTATGACCAAAAACTGTGATTGACAGATGACCGTTGATCTATGATAAGAATAGAAATTTTCTGATAAAGAGTATATTTATATACATGTTTAAGCCAGAATGACTTAAAATTTAAATATGATTTCCTGACGACTTTAAGGTGCCATGTCCTCTGAAATGTTTATTTTATTTTATTTATTTTATTTATTTCAAACAGACAGTAAAAACAATCAAGAAAGAAAAAAAATTTGAATGAAACAAACTTAAGAATGAAAATATAAAACAAATTATTTTGCCCATGTGACATGTAAATTTTATATTTTCTGTTCGAAAATATAAAACAAATTATTTTGCCCATGTGACATGTAAATTTTA